ATTCTAGGCTCTTGAGAGCAACACTGTCCTGTCTAAGCAAAGCAACACAACCTTCCAATTGTACTGAAACACTTCTATTTAGCCTGGTATTCCTTAAGTCTGTCAAGCCTCATCAGCTGCCCCACATTCCCATCTCGTCTTCCAGATGGCCCTGCTTCCCAGTGCTACACTAAACAGTCTCTTTGCTGCCGTCTGTCGCCCTGCCCTTCTCTTCTGTCTGTTTTTCCTATTCTATACCCACCCAATCCTTTCCATCACCAGTCCCTGAATAACACCTTTCCCCAACACTTCCCAGAGCCCCCTAGATTCCCGTTTGCACTATTCTATGTTCCAAACATACAGGTGTAATATTACCTTGAACTCATACTTAATTCTTTTTAAATAAAATATTGCAGGGTGGAAGGGGTTAATATAAAATCCCGCCCCCCTCCAAAGCAGCAGTTAGACACAGTTACTTCCAGGCACTGCCAGCAATAAATTTGGTTTATTAAAGTAAATTCAGCACTGTACAACAGTGCTAGCACTCAACAAAAATCTGACTTGCGTGGGAGGAGGTAGGTGGCAGTAAAGGAACCATCAAAATTAGAGGCAAAAGGAACATATGTGTAAAAGAGCTAGACTACTGCTGCTCATTGGTTGTAGGATTGTTCATTGCATTGCATTGCATTATTCAATGATTGTTTTCCATGTGGCATTTCATAACAGAACACACCCAATTGCCACTGACAATTTTTCCACAGGGGCATGGATGTTAACTGTCAGACCAATTTTCCTAACAACTTAAGTTTGCTATTGCTCCATTTCACCTCATCTGCCCTAGTTTCATGCCCTGGCCTAACCTCAGCAATGCCTCTCCTTGTTTGGCATTAAATATCTCCCTCAGCGATTGTAATAAGTAGAGATGGACCCAAACCAGATTCCTGCATACAGGCATCTCTGAATTTTGGGAAGAGTTGTGATTTGTATTTGTATTTAGAGCTTGGCCTGCTTTGCCCCACATCCAACCCCCACCATCCAAATGCTGGCAATTAAATGGATACAGATACAAACCTAAACAATATTACTTAGGTTCATCTCCGGTAACAGAGCAGAAGTCTAATATACAGTGATGCAAAGAAACCATTAGGGGAAGGGAAGAAAAAAAAAAAATCAATGGGTCAGTGTTCCCATCTGGCTCCAGCACCATGGCTCTCTGTCTGTCATCAATTACCCCATGACATATAGTCCTGGACTCCATGGGCATAAGAGGTGCACAGACTATTTGTTGTGGGCCAGGGATACTCTCCCTCCCCCAGCTAATGCAAGAAGGTCGATTCTTACTTTCTACAATGCCCAGTTCCAGCAAGTATGTTTTACCCTCTGCCCACCTGTTGTACAGCTGCTGAGAGTTGAATGTGTAAAGCAAGTAGAGAGTATTCCCAGTAAGGAAAGCCAAGATCCATAAGATAATCAGCACTGACCTCTTCTCCTGAGCAAAAACAAGAAGCAGAGAAGACAAATTCAAAGTCTCCAGAGAACATACACATAATGCACCAAGCCTCTGACTGCTGAAAAATGTGAGGCCATCCCAAGGGACAAAGGCACACTTCTAAGCATTCAGTAATTAGTTATTTACATGGGAGTGAGACACAAACAGGCAGCCTTGTACAAACAGATAAACAGAGCCAGAGTCTGTCCTTTGTCAAATGGAGTTTCTCCAGCGAACACTGATGACATTAGTGCTGGAAATGGAAGTGTAAACTCACAGAACATGGTTTTCAAAGGTAGGCCCCTAAACAGGACATCCAAATCCTGCACACAGTGTATTCTAGTGTGTGCATGCTGGATCAGCATATAATACACTTAACTGTGCAACACAACACCACTCGCAGTTTGTTGCTTGGGGCTTCCACTGTAACAAATATCAGCAACCTGAACATCCATTAAGTACCTAAACCAATTAAGCTTATAGCATCTTTCAATCCCACTGTTTTGTAACTTTATCGAATGCCCCTGAACTGCATACTAACTGTAAACATAACTGCCTAATTTGTAACTAACTGTACCATTTAACTGGGCCAGAAACAAAGGGAAGCACCTAAAAGCTGCTATTAGAAGCCTTGAAAATGATGGGACATAGTTTTGCAACCGTTAATAACACAACACTGACAGCACTGTAAGCAGTACTCCTTAAGTACACAGCACTGTCAGAGCTGTGATGTTAGCAGTCCCAAAACTAGCTATAGCCAGTTTCAGGACTGCTATCAGATGCTTTGAAAATGACAGGAGCTAGGCAGTTTCAGAGCTGTTAATACCTCAGCATTGACAGCGCTGTAGACTAACAAGCATTAAGTTTGGATAAGTGCATACTCCAGATAAATGCACAGACACTGTTTTGGTTCTGAGCCTAATTACTTATACAGAGTACAATGTATATGCGTTTAGCTTGACAAGCAGGTACAGAAATGCCAGTTCAACATGCTGTTGTACTACAGATCTGAGTTTTCACTTACCTCAGCTGGATCTGGATGACCTTATAAAGGAACCACAACTGAAAACTGATAGACCCCAGTATTAAAGATACTGATAGAGCCCACAATAGAGCCCAATATTATATACAGCACACAATGCACACAGCATGGGTGGATATTGTTTGCTAGGAGGTTTCAGGATATTTGATTTCCAATTAAGAAACAGTTAAACAAAGCAACTTAAAATTGTGTATTATGGGAGATATGAAATTCTATAAAACACATTAGTCCAAAGATATTAGACCTGTGGGTCTCAACATTTTGAGATTCAGGGCGCTCTCACAATTTTTTTGAATTTGGCGGCACCCCAGTTAAGAACCACTGTTGTGCTGCCTCAGCTTACCTTGCTGGTTCTCAACTGGGATGCAGTTGCTACCACCACTGCTGTCAGGTAAGAGGACCCCACACACCTCATGCACAACCAGACAAGGGAGGCCTGCAGCCTGTGCACACATGCCTGCCTCCATTAGGGTTCTTTGATAAGCTTAAAGCAGGCAGGCTCACCCTCTCATGACACAGTCCTTTCCAGTCCAGCCCTACATACTCCTCTTGGAAACAGGAGCATGTGGGACAGTTTCCCTGGCAGCAGAGGCAGTGAAGCAACCTAGAGATAGGATGCTTCTGCTGCCAGGTGGAGCTGTCCCACACATGACTCTTTCCAGGAGTTGTGTGTGGGACTGGACTGGGAAGGGCTGTAGCAGGAGCACGTACTCTTTCCTGCATTAGGGTTATTAGATAAACCAAATGGAGGCAGGAACACCTGCTTCTACTTTAGCCGCTTCCCAGTTCAGCTCCAACATGTCTCCTGGAAACCAAGCCATGCAGAAAAGTTTCACCTGGCCACAGCCACAGCAGTGCCAGTATTACAGCATTAGTGACAGGTTCTCACAGCAGCCAAAGGTGCATGCCACCTCAGTTGAAAACCACTGTATTAGACTACAAACTTTTTTAATAAACCCCTGAAAACTGCCTGTCTTGGGGCCAAGGAAAAGTAAAATTTTTGGAAGAAAATTCTACATCTGGATGGAAAAAAAAAAGAGGAAAGATGTTTAGAGTGCTTCTGGAGGGGCTGGACGTGTTCAAATCAGCAGGTCCAGATGCTCTCCACCCCAGGGTGTTGAGGGAGCTAGCAGGGGTTATTGCAGGGTCCTTGGCATGGCTTTATGAGTGCTCGTGGTGCTCAGGCCAGGTGCCAGATGATTGGAAGATAGCCAATGTGGTCCCCATCTTCAAGAAAGGGAGGAGGGAGGACCCGGGCAACTATAGACCCGTCAGTCTTACCTCAATCCTGGGAAAACTCTTTAAGAAGATCATCAAGGAGCACATCTGTGATGGGCCGGCATCGGGGATAATGCTCAAGGGCAACCAACACGGTTTCATTAGGGGCAGGTCAGGTCAGACCAACCTGATTGCCTTTTACGATCAAGTCACAAAAGCATTGGATGCAGGTGTCGCCGTGGATG